CTCACCATACCGGAGCAAACACACAAAAAAAAATTTTTTTAGTGAAATTCACAAAACGGATTTTTCTTTCTTTCATTCAATTTCATTAATTTTCACTTCTTTACCCATTCACCGATTCACTCACTACCTTGACAACAACAAAAAAACGAACATTTTCGCTATTGAATTATTTTGGCCTGATATTCTGTCAGTATAAAGTTTGAGATAACCTTTTTTTTGTTTCCTATTACCTAATTTCTATCGAAAGGTGTTATTTTTTTCAATTTTGTTTCGATTTTGGAATAAATTTGGAACTAAAATGTTAGCCAAAACAATGAACATTTCAATGTAAAATGAATTTAAAAATTACATTGTATATTTGAAGTGGGTTAAAATAAAGAAGGAGAAAGAAAAAATCTTTGAATTGAATCGAAAATAGTGAAGTAAGTGTAAAATCTAAATCGTATTTCTTCTGTTTTTTTGTTTTGTTTTTAAAAAAAGTATATTTTTTCAAGTTGTTGTTTAATTTGTGATTCCTGGTAACCATCATCATTATCATCATCATCATAATCATCATCAGTCATGGAAAATAATAATAAAAAACAAAACAAGCCATAGAACGAAAAACAATCATCAATGTTGAAAGTTTTATTTTTTATTTTTTCGCAAGAATTCTATATAGAAAAAGAAAAAGAAGAATTACGGTTTATGAACGTTAAAATATAAAGAAACATACATAAAACAAGAAAACTATCATAAAATCGTTAAATTATTAGTGGTTGTTTTTTTGCATTTATTATTATTCGCTAGATTCTTCGTCAGCCTTGTTCGAATGATGATCTTTCGTTTATCCTGAAAAAAATATATTCATTGATTGTTTATTCAAAAATATGTACGTATTCATATAACGTAAACAAAACAAAGAAAAAAACGTACCTTTTTTTCTGAAATTTTACGCAAAGAAATTAAAAGAATTATAATTGAAAAGTGGAACGAAATGCACCAGGTAATATCATATGATTAAAACAAATGAATAACAAAAGAGAGAGAAAAAAAAACAAATTTTTTTGATTCTAAAAATAAAAATAACCTTTACAACTTTATATTTTTTCACGATATTTGATTGGAATATTAAAGATATTTTTAGCATATTCATTGATGACGTTATTAATCGAACTCGATAATGATCATCGTCATTCATTCGATTACGAACAATGGATGATGATCATATCAAAATCATTGATGATTCTTTTTTTAGGGGGTATCCTTGATCTCCATTTGCTATTAATATCAATTTTGAAGAAGATTTATTGATTTTTGATTATTTTTTTTTGATTATTATTCTTTGCTTATCGATAAAATTCTGAATATTGTTTGACTTGAAAAGAATCAAATGAGAAAACGAGATAAATTCTGTGGTTACGTTTGTTTGTTTGATTCATTTATGGCTTTCTATTTTGTTCGTCATTTATTTGATTACAAAATGATCGTTAATTTTATTTATTTGGTTTTCCTCCTCAAAATTCTTGTTTCACAAAAAAAACGTAGACTAAAGAACCAAAAATATGAATTTTTTTATGATGTTTACCTAAGCGTTTGTATTCTGTTTGTCGTCGTTATTGTTGTTTTTTTCTCTTGTTCACAACCAGAAATGAATTTTACCAACGCAATATTCTTTCAACCTTAGACACAATGATGAACCAATATACAAGCTGTTTCAATTCATTCATTCATTCATTTATCTTCAAAATGTCTGTAGAAAAGTTTTGCCATTCGCCAACAAAGAAGAAATGAAAAAAAAACTGTTTCTTGTTCAGGTTATTAATCAAAAAAAGAGAAAAGGCAAAGAGAAAAAAAATTCATTTCCGTTCAAAAATTTTCGATTCTTATTCCAAATAACAATTATCAAACTATTTATGTTACGACAGAACGAGAGAGAAAACAGAATTTGAAAAAAAAGAATTTCAGTCTTTTTTCTAATAGATTATTAGTGTTCACCTATAGAATATTCTGTAGATTCGTAAAAAAAAACATTGTTTGGATGAAATGGGGAAATTAATTTATGACAAGCAATAAACTCTAAACAGAACAGACTTGTTTTTTGTTTTCAATTCATTGATCCATAACTTGTGTGTGTATGTGATACGTGTTTATGTAAATATGTTGATAGGAAACGGAAATTATTACAACAACAACAACAACAACAACACTAATGAGAAGGAAAAAAATATACAATTTTCATGCGAATATTTTTCATTAATATCTGAAAAAAACAAAACAAAATGAATGATTGCAATGTGTTAATGTTGTTGTTGTTGTTGTTTTTTGAAAAAATGGATTTTAATCATTTTTCTCTTTCCATACAATGTGAATATAACTAAAGAATTTTCAATTGTGCTTGTTTGTGTGTGTGAATATCATTCCATAGAATTTTTTTTGTAAGTGTGTGATCCTGCCGGTAGTTATCTATGTTGACAATTGTTTTTGTTTTTCTGTTGTTCCATTATTATCTTTGTTCCTTATTTTTCTCTTTCTCCTGTTTAGTTACTTCATTTATTTATGAGTTGTTGATGAATTGTTGATGATTTTTAATTTGTTTGTTTAACACCACCACCACCACCATCGAAAACACCTTTATTCTGTATTTTATAGTAAAAAAAAATTCTATTTTATCGGTCTAGTGATTATAAAAGTGTTTTTAAAGTAAAATGAATCATAGTTTTCAAGCAAACAAATGAAACAAAACAAAACAAAACAAAAACGGAAACAAAAAATGAATGAATGAATGAATAAAGTTTCAACCTCAAAACCGAAGAAACAAAAATGAAATAGAATACAGTAACCATTCCACACAAACAAATATTGAAAGCGTCAAATATGAATATGAAACAAGTGAAAATAAAACAACAATTGGTGTCAAACTGATGATGATGATATAGTTTTTTTTTGTTATTAATAATTATTTTATAATGACGTCATGTTTATAAAATAATAATAATTTTTGTTGTTGTTGTTGTTGTTTATGGTTCCAAAAAAAAATTCTACATAGATTCCACATAGAGTTTCATACTAATATTTTTTTTTATTACATTTATGATCATCATTGAAAAAAAAGTAAAAGAAAATAAAAACCTTAGCAACAAATACACAAAAAAAAAGCACAAAACAGTAATTCCAAAATGAAACAGTAAACAAAACAAAACAACAAGGCGATTTAGATTTAGTGTGTGTGTGTCGGTGGTTGAACCAGTGAAAAAAAACCCTCAAACACATTTACTAAGTATTTTTCATTTTCATTTTGGGCCAAAGAATTCTTCGCAAATTATAATGAACAGTTTTTATTCTTCTGGTTGTTTTTCATTTCATTTTTTTTTGAAAAACGGAATAAAGAAATGGATTTTTAACTATATTCAATTTTGTTGTTTTAATATTTCGATTTTTCTGTTTGAACCATATTTCTTTCATCCAAAACACACACACATTTATGATTGTTACTTGTCATTTTGGCGTTCGTTTCCATTATTTATATTTTATTCTTGGAAAATTTTTCTTTTCCAATTCTTGGTTGGTTAAAATGAATTCCGCTTGCCTACACACACAACTACCTACTAATCATTTTTTCTTTTCTTTTTTGATTCATTCGAATTTTTATTTATCATCGTAGGCGTCAATCAACAACAACAACAAGAAATTTCGTGGTGAAAATTCTTGCGAAAGATGATGATGAAAATCGTAATGAAATATGATGATGATGATGGTAAATATTTGAAAAAATATTAACAAAACCAAAGAAGAAAAAAAACGTACAACAAGAATCGATCGTAACAACAACAACAACAACGAAAATGAATTAAATTGTGCTCAAGACCAAAAAATTATGATGATGATGATGATGATGAGAACCAAAACAACCATAACAACTATGAATTTACTTTATTTCTTTTCTGGTTCGCTTGGTTGGTTGGTTGGTTGGCTGACTGGTCGATCAACAATATTGTTGTCTTTTTTTTTTATTTGTTTCGTTCTTATTCGTGGATTGTCTTTGAAGATTAGAAAGGAAAATTTATGGAATGAAAATTTTCAGAAATACGGTTAGACATATGAATTCATATTATTCAACAATATCCTACTCATAAAACAGATCAATGAAAATAATCGATCTTATCTTTAAAAAAAACTGGTTTGTTTTTCATCATCATTGTTGGTTGTTGGTTGTTGTTGATTTGGGTTATATACACTAAACACACACTTATAGGATATACAATTACCAGTTTATAGAAACAAAAAAAAACAAAACAATGAAACCTAATAATAATAAAAAAAATGGAAAAAACTAGAATCTTGTAGATCTTGTCATCACTTTGAGTCTTGAATTTTTTTTTTTTTTTTTTTTTTTTTTTTTTTTTTTTTTTTTTGGTACTTTTTGATCCATGATGAAAACAATCTAAAAAAGTTTGTTATTTCTTTCTTTGTTTGTTGTTTATTCAAAAAAAATTCTGTCACATTCTGATGATAACGGTGGCGCCATTAGTTTGAACTGTTTGAACATCGATTTTATCATTATCTTCATCTTGGTTGTTCATCTGGGCATGTTTTTTTTTAGAAAAAACAAAAAGAAAGTGAGAATTTTCAATGTATGTTAAAATAGTGGAAAACAGAATTTCTATTTTCACAGTCAATTATTTTTACTTTATCGTTCATTAGCTATTTACTAATTAATCGATAGATATAAGTTATTCTGGTTGTTCAAATTTTCAATTTTTTTTTCTCTCTCATCAAACAACTATTTTGAAAAACAACTAAGTTAATTATTCTTTCATTTAAATTAATAATGGTGTTATTTATAATGTTTTATTTTTTCAATAGAAAATATCCAAAAAAAAAAATCCTGGAACAACAACAATATTTATTGATTTGTTAAAACAAATCGAAATGAAATGGGCAATCGATGTTGTTGTTGTTGCAACAATTCAAATGATTATTATCAACAGCAACAACAACAACATTGTTATCGAAATCGATTCATTCAATTATTAAATCATTGTCAATTTTTTAGTTGTTTTTATTCAATTTTTTCGGCTGTTCGTCGAAGAAAAAAACAGACGACGACAACAACAACAACGACCAGTCCAACAATCAGTCCGGTTAATGAAGAATTAGAATTAAATCAACATCAACAACTAACCTGTTCAACTGTTGGTAATTCATTAGCAAAAAGTAGAAAATTTTCACCTTCATCTTCATTGTCATCATATAACGAACAAGTTAACAGAATTGAAAACGAATGTCAAAATCGACCAAAAAACTTGTTACCTTGGCGACAAGAATCGCAAAACCATTGTCACCATTATCAACAAGAATCGATATCAACACCGACAACAAACCAACACGATCGAAAAAAATCTTTAGTCGAAAACAGTAGCTGTGGCGGTTACAGTGGTGATTATAGCACAAAAAAGTCTTTATTTTTGCCAACGACTACGTCGACATCAGGCACGAACACGAAATTAAAGAATCAACGTCGAATCCATTATCGATTAATCGAACATCAAGCATCAACACAATCATCACCATCACATACATCATCATATAGTAATAATAATCATCATCATTGTCCATCACATCATTTTAATCATCGTTTTTCTCATCATCCAGATAGTAATAATTCAATTATACAATCACCAACTTTGGCATCATATAATTTACGATCTAAATTAAGATTAGATCTTCAACGATATTTAGATGAAATGATTCAACGACAACGATCTGCATCACATTGTCCACACGCAGTAGCCATCGGTTCAAATAGTAATTCTAAAAGTGGTACATCCATGAACAAGTGTTGTTGTTGTCAAAAAGCCCGAAACATATCGGCCAATAATAATTCCGGATCACCAAAAAATAGTGGAAACATCGTTGTCGATCCATTAATGTGTAAAATGGTTCAACAACATGGACTATCACCATCGCCTTCATCGTCCAATATTAATGGCCAACAGAAACGAGCTTCATCATTACGTGTATTGAATCGACGATTCAATTTTTTCGACACAAGCAGCACAAATTATAAAACGGATGGTACATCCAGCCGAAACGGTAGCCGTCGTGGTAGCCGTAAACAAAAACGACAGCAAATCAAAATGATGGATTTAAGTGATGAATGTTTTTTGGCAATATTTGATTTTTTAACATTACAAGAAAAACTATATTATGAACGTGTTTGCCATCGATGGCAACGTTTGATAAGAGTTTCATTACAAGCATCTGCATCATTAAAAATCGGTGAACATTCAGTTAAGTGCAATTGTCAATGTGCTCATTTTCCAAGCTGGGATCTTCCTCCTTCCAAACGTTTTCCAAGAGATCAAATCGGTTACATTATTTATCCAAAAACAACTATTCGTTATTTGCTCACATTATGTAGTCAACTGAGATGTATCAATTTTTCTCATTGTTATTTGGATGATGAAACTTTACAGGTATGTTTGACTATAAAACTATGTATTCTGTTTTTGAATTTTTAATGACTTTTTTTACGTTACTAAATCTAGATTATAATGAATCATAGTGATAAGATTGAATGTCTTCATTTAAATGACATTCGCCTTGAAGAAGATGGTGATGAACTTCCAAATGGATTTCTTGATAAGAATAAAAATCTAATCGAAGCTGTGAATAATGGACATCATGGTGATCAAGAGACAATCAGTTCGGCTGTAGGTGCATTTGCATCCGAACAGCTAGCCGTTTTTGGTGGCCTAATGCGTAAACTTTCCACACGTCATTCATTGAAAAAGAAACATCATCGTAAAGAGACCAGCAGTGATATAGCTGGAAAACGATATTCAAACGCATCAGTTTTGTCGAAAAAGTCAACTGCATCTAGTGTATCGAATTTGGTGCAACATCGTTCCAGTACGGGAGTCAGTAGCCCTTCCAGTACAAATCATTCGACCGTAGCATCTCGATGTAAAACTCCTGTTAATCAAACAAAATCATCACCAATATCATCATCAGGAACAAACAATTCAGGTCGTACAACTGCAGCCACTGGTAGACGCACGAATGAAATGTCACCATTGATTCAATCTACGATGAACCGTACAACACCGAATTTAAATATTTCGATGACAACAAACACTGCATCAACGGCTATACCAATGAATTCAGTTGCAGCGGCCATTCACGAGAAAACTACTGCCGTATACTTTCCTCACGATGATATGCGTGTCTCATTAGAAAACATAATACGTAAAACTCAGATGAATAACAACAACAACAAACAACAGAATAATAAAACTCCATCACCGCAAAATGGATCACAATCACCAACAATAACTTTTCATCCTGCTCAATCACAATCATTATCTTCTCAACAACAACAGCAAAAACTTCAATCAAAACCATCAACAACATCAATAACATCAGCTACTCAACGTCGTCGAGAATGGTCTAAACATCGTTCATCACAAAACAATCAAATTCGTGTTAACAATTCAGTAATGCGTTCTGAAGATCAACTCATGTCAATCAACGTTATAAATGATACTATCAATAGTAATGATAGTTTATTTACGTTAAACGATGAATCTAGTGTTGCTACCAATAGCTATCCAAAAACCAATGGTAATCGTCAACAAATTCATTTATCACCAAATTTAGCACCAAACATTTCAAGTATACAAACAGATTCAGATGGAACTAGTCCTCGTTTTAATACTACAATAACAACAACAACAACGACAAGTCAAAGTGGTGGAAGTAGTAGTGGTGGAAGTGGTGCTAGTATGATGACCGGAAATCAGATTGCCGATTTGAATAGTAGCGAAATCAATTCGAATAGTCATCGAAGTAGTATGAATCTTGTAACAAATGTTCAATCACAGGGTCATTCCAATCAAATGGTATTCGATTCATTGGTCAGCCAAATGGATAATAATAAAAGAGATCATGTTCAAGCATATGTTGAACAGGAACAAATTCGTCATGAAATTCGACAAAGTCATCTACTTCAATGGAAAGCTTTTGCTAAAAAACTTGGATCACAAATTCGTTGTCTTTCATTGGGAAGTTTATCATCAGTAGATTCAATTGTTATTGATATTTTACTCAAATATTCTACTATTCTTGAAGAATTAAGAATCAACAATGAAATCGATATTCTTTCCTATTTATCTGTCATCAAACATACGATTAAAAAAATTTATATCAATTGTGAACATGGAATTGGTAAGTGATTATCCATAATAAGTCTTAGGATTATTTTTTTATCATTTGATCATCAATTTTTTTTAAAGGTCTTGAATGTGTAACGTTGTTGGCATATCGAAACTATGCTGAAAAAGTTATATCTTTGGGTAATCATTTTCATTATTATAAATTTTATCAATTTATTTTATTGATTTTTTCTTTTATAGGTCGAGTTGATGTACCACCTGATCTTATGGATTCGGTCATATCGACTATTGGTTCAAATTTTTGCAATTTACAATCATTATATCTACGAATTCATAATTTTGATATTGATGTTGCTACACCGGCTAGTTTATTATTTAATAATCTAAACGAATTGAATTTACAATTCGTTTCGGGTAATGTTGATCAACCATTTCGAAAATTTATTCAATTAGGATGGTCATCTGTACGTAGTTTAACTATACAATATGCTTCGATTACTGAAGAATCGGTTCGTGCAATTCATGAACATATGCCACAATTAAGAAAATTAGTATTATATGCTATCGAATTTCGTTGTGATCATTTGGCAAGAAGGTAAGTTTTTTTCTGAAAAAAATTGAATCGAATCAACCTTTAATCAATTTATTTCATACAGATATGGACATAGAATTTGTACAAATTGTTCGCATAGTGTATGGAAATCGATTGCAACATTACCTCATTTACAACATCTTAAACTTCATCGTGTTATAATTGATGAAGAAATTTGTAAAGCATTATCACGAATGCATCGTTTACAAAATCTTGAACTACAATATTGTTCAAATGTTAATGATAATGTGATTAATGTTTGTAGTGAATTAGCTAGACGATCACCTCGACGACGATTTATATTAGCCGTAATTTCAAGAGGATTTCTTACATTAAAACCACCAGCAGATTGTAATAATTTGTTCATCGATGTAAAAGTTGCTTGTAAATAGTAGGAAAGTCAACCAAAAAAATCGATAATCATCCAACTTAACGAACGAACGAACGAACATACTTTTCATTACAACCATCATTTCTATTCAATCAATGAACCGATGACAATCATTTTTATTTATAAAAAAAAGATGGCAATAAATAACTTTTAAATAATATCGACAAACATTTTAATATATAGATTTTTTTTCCGGTTTTGCTGTTTGGCTTCCCACTCACACACACAAACACGTATATATTTTGATAATTGGAACACTTGTTTTGTTTCCCGTTCTATTATTGCACATTAATTATTTAAGCCTTTTTTATCCATAATCAAAAAAAAAAACAGAATCGATTGTAAATCGATCGATTGATTGACAATATATTTTTTTTCTTCTTATTCTTCTTCTCATTTAGTGAACTAATCGATCAATATTATTGATCTTTTTTTTTAAAAAAAAGTAAGAAAGAAAACAATTTTTTTACGGTGATTATTATAAAACAGTGGTGATCAATATTGTTTTTCTTCTTTTCACATTTTCCTCTTTATATAGTTTGTTTTTTAATGTATAAATCTATATCCACTCACACCATCATCATCATACACTTGGTCATTTTTTTTTCTTCCTCTTCTAAATTTATCAAAAATAACAAAAACAAAATAATTATCTCGCCTCTTATTTATTCGCAAAGAATTTGATCTATATTACACCCACACACACATTCACACAAATAGCATCTGGATTTTGTCAATTTGTTGTTGTTGTTGTTGTTTTTTTCCTCTTATTTATTTATCATTGTTTATCGATTATCAATCGCAATAACAATCAAACAAACAAACAAAAAAAGAATAAAGAATAAAACAATTATTTTTAGTGAGATTTTGTTGACATTGATTTTTTGTTGTTGTTGTTGTTTTTCATTGAATAGAAATTTTCAATGTTTTTTTTGTATTGATATTGATTGTGGAGAAAAAATCGATATGAAATCAAATTGTGATTAAAATAATTCGGGTGTCAAAAACAATTGACAATGAACAGTAGTTATTCGGTGACGAATAAAAAATTTTCATATTGATTAATATTAATCAAATAAATCTTGGGATTGAAGAGCCACCATCGATAACAATATTTGTTCCAGTTATGTAGGATGCATTTGTTGAAACTAAATAGATAACAAGATTGGCTAATTCTTCTGGTTCACCATAACGTCCTAATGGAGATATTTGTTCATATGATTTCAATTCTTTTTCATATTCATTTTGATCACTATAATTTCGATAGATGGCAGTCTTAAACGGTCCTGGACTAATAATGAAAAAATAAAAAAAAATTGAAAGACAATTTTTCACATTTAATATTTACTTGATAGTATTAATTCGAATTCCACGACGGCCATAACTTAATGCCATACCATGAACCATATGATCCAATGCAGCTTTAGACATTTCATAAATTATTGTCTTTTCATTATTAAACTAATTAAAATGAATAAATTCATTGAGAATAACAGCATAACAAGAACCAAAAACTTACAGAGGAAAAGGATCCAATCGATGATATGATTACAATGACACCTTTTGATTTTTCCAAATACGGTATGGCCAATGAAGTTAAATACAATGTTGATCGAACATTCAATCCAAATGTAAAATCATAACTTTTTAAAACTTCATTCGGATTACTAAAATCAGCTTGATAATGACCACCGGCATTATTGATAAGGAAATCAATTTGGCCAAATGATTCGACTGTTGTTTGGACAATTTTTTCAATGACTTGATCATCCATAAGATCTCCGATACATATGTTTGGAGTATATTTTTTTGGTGATAATTCATGACATTTAGCGGCCACACGATTAACATTCTCTTCGGAACGACCATGTACAGTGACACGGCAACCATATTTAGCTAACATACAAACAATAGCTTCGCCTAGACCAGATGATGATCCAGTAACGATAGCTACTTTACCATCAAAATCATATGTTTGTGACATCTATATGTATGATGAATAAAAAACCAGAAAAATGTGTTCGTATATGATGCATTCATTGAAATGTGTTAGAACGTGTGAGTATACTCGCTTATCAAAAATCAAAATAAAAAAAAAAAAATTATCATTGATTTTTTATCTGAACAAGGATATCATTGATTGTTATCCTTATTAATGTTTTATAAATTTTTGATTTTCATCAAAACAATACCAACAAAACAAAAAATCATGATCTGATAAGGTAATTTTTTTTTGTTTCATAAAACCAATATCGTTCGATAAGGAGGAGTTATATTAACACAATATATGTGACTACTATCTTTGTTAAAATAGTCCTATTGTTAGTACATAGGGAAAAATGAATGCAACAAACATACATTGTTCTAACATTCGATCACAATTTACGTTTACTTTTAACTTCCTTTTATCGTTGTTGTTTTCTTCAGATTGCAGCCAAATTTCATCATCAGTTTTTTCCGGAAAAAAAATGTTTTTAAAAATGGTGAATAAAGCAAGAGACAAGAGAAGTATATATGAATATTGTCATTTTGTTTCATTCATTTATTTTGTTTTGTTTACATTTTTTCTTTCAGAATGATTCTCGTTTGAATGAACTGAAAGAAATCAACATCCTTTTTGTTATAATGTTAATTTGTGTTTGGGGTAACGAGTGCGATTTTTTTTTGTCGTTAAATTTTTTTTCCACAATCATGATCGTCGTCATTACATTTGTAATCTGTTGAATGACGCCAACCTGTTGTGGTTGTTGTTGTTGCTGCTATATTTGATTATCGTCATCGTAAATTTAACCATGTTTTTTCCCTCATTGCATAATGATTGGGGAAAATGAATTTTTTTTGACAAAATGATTTAAATATATAACCAGATAGATTTATGAAAATTTCGATGTAATCATCAAGAATTTTGTTTGTTTGTTTTTGTTTTCGGAAAGATTTTTCCCATTCAAATAGCTTGTTATCAGGTGAGGAAAAAAAAAGATTCTATATTTAACTTCAAATTCTTTAAAAAGAATAACTTTTGATGAATGAGAAAAAAATAAACATTTTTTTCAATGATGATGATGATGAGAATGATTTTTTTACATTGACTGATTCTTTCGAATGTATATAATTCAATTTGAAAACATTATCGAAACAGTAAACATAGTGAAAATCAATTTTTATTTCAACTACATTTATATTTAAAATAATTTTTCCTTGTCAATCAAAATGATCAATCTGTATAGTTTGTTCTGTTCTCATCAATTTTTTTTTTTGAATTTACTGATTGATCATGATCAAAATGTTTGTGTGTTCATTTACTAAATAACTTTTAAAGCAATAAGTTTTTCCGGTGAATCACTATGGAAAATCAACATCATCATCGACACCAACAACATTCATCATCATATGAATATGATTATCCAATACTAGATCATGGTAATAATTATCAACTTATAGATCATAATAAACGAATTGGAACATTTGTTGTTCAGTCGAAAAAAATGGCCATCAACACTATTGATGATGATGATGATGATGATGATGATGATGATAGACAACAACACCAACAAAAACCACCATACGATTTAAACAAGCAACAGGATGACGGTGTAAAATTAAAACAACAATTGTATGAACAGACTAATGATGGCAGCAAATTTGATGTGACCAATCAAATGCACGTAACATCAAATCATCTTCAAACGCCTATTGATGATAATGATCAAAATATCAAGATTGTACATAAACTAGTTCAACAAAAAGTGCATCAGGTAGGATTATTATTATTATTATTTTATTTTATTTTTTTGTTAAACTGTCAAATTCAATTTACAATTTGTATCATCACTGTCATCATCATCGTCACCGGAAAGATGATTGAAAGTAATGAAAGATTTATCATTTATCGTATTATTATAACTACGTCAACACCCAGTTTTTTTTGTTGAATTTCAAAAAAATTAACATCATCATTTTTTTTCTCGTAATAGAAAATTTCTGATAAACTCGATCAAGTTCAACATACAGAAAGGAAAACGAATGATCACTTTGGTTCTCGACAAATATTAATCGATGACAGCGATCATCATTCTACTAATTACATCAACAATAATTTAAAAATTGTCAATCAAAAACGTAGACGATTTTCACGTGATCGAACTGTATCCGATGATGCTACATTGCTTGTAACTCAACCAACTTCAACTGAACCTGTCTTTGATTCTTCAAACATCATCAATAATTCTTTCGATTGTGATTCGAATGAAAAAATAATCAAAACAATTGAATGTCATTCTTCATCAACAACTTTGAATGATTCAAATTTACCGAAAAATTATCATGTATCGTTGCCTAGTTTGAATACATCGACTTTAACCAAGTCAGTCGCATTCGATCCGATCACCACAATTAAAGTCGATGATGATAATGTTATTTATAATTTAACATCACGTTTTCAATTGCAATCAATTTTCCTGCGAAATCATTCACATCGATCATCCAACAACTATCAAACAGCTAAATCTACAAAACAACCATTATCAATTTTAAAATCATCTAAATCTACATCAATATATTTTGACGGTCATCGGAAAACTTGTCCAAAAAGTAAACTCGCTCATTACGAAGAACATTTCCTGCTTTAATTTAAATTTAAATTTAAATTGACATTGAACATGGCTCACATGTTATTTTGACATTCATTGTCGATCTAGTTTTTTTTTTAAATTTTTATTTTTCCATTTCATTTCACATAGGCAACATTCAAAACAAAAGAAAAAAAAATCAGGTTGCATTGAACTTGTTGAATATTATTCAGTATATCTTATATATATAGAATTAAACTTATTTATCTACTTTTTGTTTAAGATGGCAATGAAAAAAAAAATCATAGCTATCCCTCGTGCCAGGTTAGAAATGTGGCAATGAAATTGAAAAACATTGTGAGAAACATTATTGCCAAAAAAGAAAAATCAACAACAACATTCTTCAATCTGTTGCTTTGTATACAATGTAATGTAAATTTTCTGTTCGAAGCAACTCCGGAAGAATCAGAAAATAAATTCTATCTGATTTTTTTTTAAGTTAACTATTGAATGAATATAAAAATTTTTAGAAACAAATTTTTTCCAATAATTTTGATATTATCGCCATCTAGATTTCAATGGAAAAATAACACAGATTTTAATAAATTTTTATTTTTATATTCATTAATCCGTAATTTTCATTATTTTTTTTTCAATAACTGATAGATTTACATGAACAACGATTACATCAACAAAAACAACATTGTGAAATTATGGTTGATCATCATAATCATCATCAAAATAATCAATTACAATCAACTAGTCAATGTTATAATAATAAAGGATCTAATTCAATTGTTTTTGTTGATTTGAATGAAAATAATGAAGATAGTAATTTTTATCATAATCAACCCATTCAGACTATTAACGAAAATTCAGAAAAATCAAATATTACAAAATGTTTAATTAAACAAAATGAATCAAACGAAATCAACGAAGACTGTAATAATGACAATAATAATAGTTTTGATACCGACCATGACGATGATAATTGTAATATTGAATGTACTTGTCAAAACGAAACAATCGATTCAACCTATGATATTAAAACCGAAAATGGCCAAAAATCTGTACAGATTACGACTCCAACAGAATCGGAACAAATTCTTTTTGATCCAAAACGTTCAGCTGCCGATTTGTTTGTCGATAATCAAACTAACTTAAATGACTCAATTGATCAACAAATTTCGTTAGGCCTATCGAAAGATTCAACTCTACGTTTGCGATCATTAGATGATATCAGTGACTGTGATAATTGTACATTTTCTTCTATCGATAGCCATATTAATGATGATGTTGACGATGGTTACCACAGCAACAATATACGAAGTTATGTATCCAACAGCCAATCCTCAAAATCGACAACAACAACATCATCATATTGTGATTGTTCATCAAATGAAATTCAGCCCATAACGTATCGAGTTTGTTTAAATTGCCATAAGCCATTGAGTTATTTTAATGATGATAGTATAGCGGACAAAGAATGCTCTAATTTGTTACATGGTACATCATCAATACCTTTGATCAGTATTGATAATCATTTGTCAACTGATAGAAGAGTATATCAATTAGCAAGCCAACGACCAACCAATAATGTTGCCTATAGGCCGATCATCAATGAAAACACTATAGATGCTATTACATTAGATTTGATAGGACCATCATCTGACGAATCGTTGTTCCAAGATTCATCAACATTTCTCATGATGACAAACGACGAAGATGATGATATGGATCGGCCACAATTCTGTCACAAATGTAACATTTGGTATGGTAGCTTAGATCCAAGCTATCCGATAACATGCCATTGTCCTGAAATGATCAAATCAAATGCCATGAACATGAATGATAGTGGATCGATATACTCCGTACATATGCGTAAAGATTTCAGGTAAAAAACAATTTTTCAATCTATTCGATATCTAATCATTTTTCCGAATCAGATATTATTTTCAACATCCATATTCTCGCTTATTTGTTGCCTATTTTGTCATCTTTTGCAATTTTCTTATCTTTGCTGAGGATCCATTGAGTCATTCATTAATGGAATGTTCCATACCCGTGTTAGGAAATGTAATATCATTATTGTTTACCAAATATCCACCCGAATTCGAGTGGCGATTCATCAAAGCATCTATGTCCATTTCAGCTATTATACTTGGTTTATTTATCGGTAAATTCTTCCTACATCATATAGTTTTGCGGCGAATACTTCGACTAAAGATGTTTCGTGAAGAAAGTGGAACATGGATGATAATGTTAATTTCATCTGTGTTATCATGTTATTTTGCTTCACAAATATACAATGCATTGTTATTGATGTTTCATCCGGCTTTTCATAGTTATTTGATAACATCGAAAATGGGTATCACATATGCATTGTTCATGAAAATAGCTGCATGTGGAACATGGTGTGGTGATTTTTTCACTGCCTGGATGATCACCGATATGATGTTACAAGATAACCTATATCCTAAATGGGCTATTGGTCTTCGGGAATTTTGGTATAAACATGCTAACATTCGTATTCTGGTATTCTGGTCAGGATCGCTAGTCATTGCAGCTTCAGTCATAACAATCATTTTGACTGAAGTTATCTGTTGGGATTGTATAACTTATGGCCTATTCTCAACAACAGAATTTTCTCGTGCATTTCTCGCTTCGGCTATTTTAGTCATGGATCTGCTTATTGTTATGCAAGATTGGGATTTTCCTCATTTTGTCTGTGATCTCAATATAAAACTACCCGGTCTTCTACAGCCTTCATATACATTAAATTTTTTTCGTAAATCACTCAAATTTCCACCCGTTGAAATTAAAATCACTGGTATGAAATTATTTTTGACAATGGTGATTCTTTTTCATATAATTTTTTTTCCAATCAGGCAAATGGTTCAACTATGGAATCATCGTATTTGTAATGATGTTAGACTTGAACATGTGGAAAAATCAAGTTATTTATTATCCATCCAATTACGGTCAATATGTAGAAACTATTACAAATCGTGTATGTAGCATTACTGATCAAAAATCAATCGATATTTTACATCGAGGAGATGGTCTAATTGATTGGTCTTATGAAAATCGCAGTCGAATGATCGATCCACAAACAAATCGTACTTATATTCAAGAAGACCTAATAATATATGCACGTTATTTTGGATATCCATGGGTCTATAAAATGGCCAGCTTGATCCCAATTCTAGCCGGTAAGTAAATTTCTTTTATTCTGATTTAATTTTTTTTACCATATTTCTTCTGAAATAGGATTTGCATTTTTCTTATTTCTCGTTTATTTTTACGGTCGTTTTCCACCAAAAACTGATGCATCATTGGGTGGTAGATTGCCCAAACGAAGATCTTATCGCTCAAGTTGGCGTCGTGAACGTCGTGATAATCGTCTTAGAATCAATCATCGCAAACGGCATATTTCTTGGCCAGGCCTCAATACAGTATTTGAAAAGTATCAAAATCGTTATGATTTATCATTACCAAACAAAATGCCGAATGATGTCGACATTGATGCGAAAATATCATCAGCTAATTATCAAGATAAATTATTCGAACAAAATGAGCATAACCACATAATCACCGATACAAAAATCGACAATATTTCGAATTCGAATGCTCAAAAAACATCATTAAATTCAGATAATAATTGTAATTCAAAATCAAATCTACCACTGAATCCATTAATTAACATATTGACTCCTATATCATCTCGTTTCATATTATCATTACCATCGAATCCATTGAAAATTTGTGCATTTATAATGCCCATAACTACTAACGGAAAAGTCAATAATAAAGTAGATGAAGACATTGATCTGAATCCGGTCAATACTGTTGAAAATACGCACCAATCATCTCAGCCAACAACTATTTAATTTACCACAACAACCTTTCCCATTTTAAAGTTTTTAACATTTTTTAAAAAATAATTTTTTCCTGTTATAAATCTTATAATCATTGTTTTTAAATCAATAAATTGTGATATTTTCCAACCGATTATTTTTGTAATTAATAATGTGGTAGCACGTGTTAATATTATCGGTTAACTTCAAGCTTAACGTTATGTTATGTGAAATTTGATTTTTTTTTTCGAAAAAGTAACATTTTCTATCATTTATGTCTACCATATCGGGTATATAGTTGTTTTCAACAATAAAAACAATAAAAATTTAATTTATCATAATTACAGATTTGATCAATAGCTCATTCATGATAGTTTCTCTTTTTTTTCAATTTTATAACTCTTCACTCTTGACATACATTGTAGGGAATTGTAATTGAATAATTTTCATTACGAACAATAAATTGTGAAACAACAAAAAAGACTAATATGTAACTTAGAAAAGTCAATCAGTCAGCATTTTTAGTTTCATTTCTCATCCCGTTCATTTACTATATATGCTTCAAGCAATTTGTCAATAGTTTTTTTTTGTGTGATCATTTTTAGCCTAAATTTTATCGATATACAACTAATTTGTTATTGGTGTTATTGTTCATTTAATATGATCAGATTCAATTCAAACATAAACATAATATATATGTTTACCCGATCAATGTTTATAAGCCTTAAGCATCTTACATAATCCAGTTATGAAGATCCATTATTATTATTATTATTTTCAATGTCAATAATAAATGTATCAAAATTATGTTTATTTGTATTATTATTGTGATTTGAACTTTTTTTTTTGTTGATCGAAAATTAGATCATCTTAATCTTGAAAAACAAAATTGGTCAATCATCAGATATTTCATTCGATTTATTACCATTCATTCTACATACAGAAAGAGTTTTTTTTTCTTCAAACCAACCAAACATATAAAATGATTTGATGAAACAATTCATTCAAGTTTTTTTGTTTTGTTTTTGTTTCATTCAATATTCACTTTTATTATGTGCATGCATGGATGAATTCAAGAATAAAATATATGAAGGTAATATGTATGTCTATTTTCTCTCATAATAGTATTTATAGAATGAATGTATTCATGAATGTTTCAGGTGTTTAAAAGTGATTATGTGGTGATGAAATCATCATCATTGTATCATCATCATCATCATCAGTGTATATCCTCCGACAAATTTCAGCCAACAATTTACTCAACAACAAACGTGTTTTGTGTTGTGTATGTCGCCATTATGGCAAATAGTATTATCATCCATAATACAACATGATGAATCTTTTTTTGTTTGTTTGTTGGAAAGTTATAACAGAAAACTAAGAAACAAATATTGAGAAAATAAGCAATGTTACTTTAAAATACGTGAATATATCTTTCGACCAACTTAATTCAATAGCAGCCAATTGTGGTTGCTGTATATCAACATTGCTTGTTTCCACTACAATCCGATTAGAATCAATCGAAACGGAATCTTTCAATCAACTAAATATCAGTTTTGTTTTATTTTGCAAAAAAAGTTACTCTTGCAATTGTTTGCATCGTTAATAACAACAATTCAAGATGCTACTTGACCATCATAATTTAAATAATTATCGTTTTATATTTACGATATTTGTGATTGTTTTTCAATCATTATTTTGTTCATGGACAATGGCACAAGCATCATCATCATTTTATCGTACTGATAATGATAATTATGTCATCAAGCCATTAAGAATTGTTCATACAAGAATGGTACCCAAATCGTACATCAAAACAAAACGTTTTATAAATACAGAACCTGAAAACAATCTGATCGAATCGGATAATCAAATTGATTCAAATAGAAAATCACAAATTTCAAAGAATCAATTAGCTCCACCTTTAGACATTAGAAATCTAATGAATCGTTTTCAATTGACTTCTATGAAATGGCTATTATCGATGCCTAATAATGGTCAGCAACAAATCGACCCGAATGTTCTTCGCCAACGTATCATGTCAACAAGATGGTCACGTGTTAAAAATGGTCAACCATTCGTATTATTGAACAATCAATTGGTTCCAGTTGATTTGGTTACAAATTCAGTGATCAATAGTAATCTGAATGGAGTGGCACCAAAACAAATGCTTGATTTAAAATTGATTGCTATGATAAACAATGGCCAAAATAAAAAGAAAATGATTCATAAACTTTATGGTGATGAAAACAAACGACGAGATGACTACATTTATCATCCATATTATTCTAATATCGAACATAATCTTTTGGATCATGATTTCCATTCAACGAATTCAGTAAAAAATTTCGCACCAAATTTTAAACGATTTCCAAACGATTCACAACGATTTCGACTTTCAACATTAGGTCGAATCGGTTATGATCAACAATAACAACAACAAAAATTAATAATCATCAAACCTGACTCTTTTCTAATTTTAAATTATTTTTTCTGGCTCAAATGATTACAATCCTATATGATTTTTTTTCTTCTTGATTTTAATAAAAAATTTTTTTCCATCATTCAATAGAATTTCAATATGAAATTGATTGATTCAATTCGATGACCTTCCAAATGATTTCATGAATTCTATAGCGTGGTTAACATCCAAACTGATCAATTATTAATGGCTGCCATTTATATTATCATCACAAATTTCTTCTTCATTTAACATATTGATACTTTTCATTATTATCATTGTTGTTGTTATTTTGTTTGATTCATAGAATGATATGACGATGATGAAAAAGGACAAATGAAAAAACATTGGATTCCACAATTGACAATTGAACCGGTTTTGAGCATATTGTTCATAGATGATATTGTTGTCAATTTTTCATAAATTGTCGTGACATTTGGCCGTTTATACATTAATAGCATTTTACGATGACGATGATGATTGCTATCAATTCAACATTTATTTTCTTGTTTGTCTTGTTTTCATTTTTTCTCATCATTGTTTCCGAATAAAGTTTTTTTTGTTTATAAATTTTTCCTACGTATTTCGTACAATGACCTTGAAATCAAAACTTAAAACACACTTTTAGTTATCATTTTTTTTACCCTGCAAAAAATCAATTAATGAATTCCATAATTGTGAATGCTACTGAATGCAACATCATTTTATTAACAAAATGCATCATCATTTTGATCAATTCAATCATCAAACGTCTGATCATAACAATTTCTCATTTGCATTTTTTACAATGTGAGAGAAATAGGTAATAAAATTGATTTGGAAAAAAAACAAACATCATCGATTATGAATGTATTTGGGGAAAAAAAAGAATCAGGGTCATCAAACGAAAACAATATTTTTTTTTTTTTGATAATTATCAGGATATTTGGTTTTATTTTCAATTTATTATGAAGGTTTTTTCACAATTTTTTTTGATTTTGATCGATGTTGATGTTTGTTTGCGTTTTTATTATACATTGATGATGCTAAATATCGTTTTTTTTTGTGGTTGACATTGTCATTTATATTTTAATGATGATCAATTTTTTTTTCTTTTTTGATTTGTTCGACGGATGTGATGGCCACACTGTTTCAATAAGTTTTTTTAAAATCAATATGGTGGCTTGGGATTATCATGACGCAAACGATAATCGCGTTGTGGTCAACTTTGAAATTGAGAAATAAAAAGTTATTCATACTGAATGATTAAATTGTAAATCATCAACAACAAAAAAAAATTCGGAAAAAAATTTCATTTCTCATTTGAATTATCATCGATAGATGGAAGTATTTTGATCATCAAATTCATAGGATTTTACTATTTTTTTCCCCGATGGCAGCACATTTGATATTTCAAATATGAATTTGAATCGTCGACAAAACAATAAATTAAATTTGAAGGATATTATTGGAAAAACACCATTGTTGTTTTGGTGAATGACTGATTGATTGATGATGATCAAATCAATATAATTCTTCCAAAATTATCATTAAAAACAATATTATGATCAATAAATCAACAACACAAACGTAATTAAATATTTTGCAAACATTCTTGAACGCACGAACGTCAAACTCGTTTTCATCGTTTTCAAATTAATTTACTTGCTAAATTAATTATCAATTGTGTTCAAGATTAAAAAGATGAATGAAAATATATAAATGAAAAAACAAAAAACATTTCAAAGAAACAAAAAAATTCCAAACAAAAATTCATAATCTGTTATGACTTTTTGTTTATGACAGCAAATTGTTTACACTTGAATTGAATTATTGTCCAATTCCAAAATAGTTATGACCAACTTGATGATCGATTTCATTTTGACTTGAAATTGAAATGAATGAATTTGTTGTTGTTGTTGTTGTCGTTGGCCAGTTATCGTTCACGCAAACAACCCAAAAAAAAGAAGAAAAAGTTTTTAACGCCTTATCTCTCCACGCAAGAAGAAAAATGATTTATGAGTTACGATTTCATCAACAGCCAGAAAACAAACGATGAATTCTTTCAATTCAAATATCAAAAGTTATATATGTACAACTGGATCTTAATCACTGATCCAAAAAAAACAAGAAGAAAAGAAAATCTGTCCTAAAAAAATGTTTAATCACGAAAACAAAAGCTGAAAAAAAACTTTAAATAGTGATCAAAACAAACATAGGAACAACAACAATTTGTATTTATCAAAATAAAATCCATCATTGTCGAATGAGATGTGATGATGAAGATCATCATCATCATCATCAATGAATGATTTTTTTTCCCAATTCTTTTCTCCTTCATCGACCATGTTAGAATTTTTGTGACCACAATTTTTTATCCATATACAATTGGGTTATCTTTTTTAAGCCCTATAGAAGAAGAAGAAGAAGAAAACACTTGATTTGTTTATATATTGTTCGTTTTTATTGCCCAGCAAAAAAGAATTTAACGATGAAAAGAATCGAAAGAAAAAAAGAAGAAAAGCCGAATAATAAACGACAACGACAAGACAATATGAACAAAGAAAATGACGTTTAAATGTTTGACATAAATTAAGACAAATTGGATCCATTTCTCGTCAGCCAACAACAACAACAACGACAAAAAACGTTTTGATCTTTTTTTTTTCTTTTGTTAAACAGTGGTGGCAAAATGGTTTTAAAAGATTTTTTTTCTCCCATTCTTAAACAATGAAAGTCAATGATGATGATGATTGCAATGGAAAGGGATGGGCGTTCTCAAGACCTTTTTTTCTATTTGGTTTGGGTCATTTTGGATTCATTCATTGATCGTAAGCCAAAAATGAAATCAACATTTTCATCCAATCATAAATGGGAAGATTAAACAGTTTGCCGAATTCAACAAAACAAAACAAAACAAAACAAAACGACCAACTAGTAATATTATGTGACAAACAAGAATAAAAAAAGAAATGAACAAAATATGAAAAATAGATAAATGGGATGACACTTTTTTTTGTTTTGTTGTTGATTTGGGGAATCCGTTGCCGCTACGATTAACATTATTATTATTGTTATGGTGATTGGGCGTAAATCGTTTCTTGATCAAAAAGTTTTTTTTTACTTGTCTATTCTTCAACAACAATTGTTGATGTTGAAGAAATTGTTCTTGTTGTTGGTGGTGCATACAACACAGAATAAGATAAAGTTTTTACACGTATTATAAAAAGAAAAAATATATAAAAGTTTTTGTCACAACAGTTTTGAAATGAAAATGAATGATAACAGATCAAAAACTATTGGAATAACACATACACACACACAGATTAGATAGAATTGATGTTGAAAAAATAAGATTGACGAGAATCAAAACAAACAAAAAAATGAAAAATTTTCAACAAACGCATTCTTTGTTTGTTTTGATGATGGATGAGTTTTGGTCTATGGTCTTTTGATTGGTTTGATGTGTTTTTCTTCTTTGGCTTTTTTTTCGCGTTTTGACAAATTATTCTTCCGCAAAATATTCGATCACTTATTTTTCTTTTTGTTTGAGCGAATGGAAAAAAATAACAAAAGAAAAAACAAATGATTTTCTTTGACACCAAACTTATTTCGATAAAATTCATTTATTTTAATAATCAAAATAAAGGAAAAATTCAAATATACTTGTTTAATATCATTAGAATAGATAATTTAAGTTTAATCAAAAAAAAAACAAAAACAAACAGAAACAAAATTACATTTAATTTTGAAAACAATTTAAATTTTCATTCGTTTTAATGTCGAAGAATTTTGACTATTTAATGATGATGATGATTGTTGTTGTTGATCGATTGAATAATTATTTGATTGTAAAATAATTAAATCATTATTATCATTCATATTAATACAATCATTTGCTGTTGATGATGATGTTGTTGTTGTTGAAGGCACTAATAAAGTTGTTGAAGATAATTGTTGATGATCATGATCACCAACATCATCATCATCATCATCATCAAGATTATAAGATATTGGTGGTGAAAGATTAAAACGAATCGTACGATTTATGGAAGAATTCTGTTTTGATGATGATGAAATTGATTGTTGTAATGAAGATGGATCGGTATCAGTTGTATCGGTTGTATTACTTGGATTACTTGCTGTTCCACTTCCTATACCACCACCACCGCTAGATGATGAAAAACTATGTAATGGAAAATATTGAGCATGTTCTGGCTGCGTTTGAAGATGATGATGATGTTGTTGTTGATGATTAGATGCTGGTGATTGACAAATAGATCCATGATGATCATTTAATAGCGAACAATTTATCATATCAGATGTTTCCATAACTGGACATGATTGTTGTTGTGGTTGTTGTGTAATATGATGATGATGTGAATGAATATCATTATTCAGTGATGATTCGGCTGTTGATATTTGTTGATCAGCATAATGTACATGATGAATAATATGTTGTGCACCTGTATTTGAATCGATTAAATTTTCTGAAACTGTATTAACATTATTGCCATAATAATTTGAATTATTTGCACATAACATTCCCATTGGATTAGAAAAACAAGTAGATTGTTGTTGTTGTTGTTGATGATGATGATGATGGTGAGGCTGATTGTGAGATGAATGATGACCAACACCACCACTCCTGATTGAATCATCCATTTTGTTAGCAGGAATAAATTTCGTACAACTTGTTGAATCTACAATTGAATCCTGTGTCGATGATACAGAAGTAGAATTATTTTGTCTTTGAAGATTATAGTAAACACCAGCAAATACAAGTAAATTCAATGCTAACAATGAACAACCAACAGCAATTGTTGCTTGAAGAAGATTATGACTATTATCAGTTCCTGAATCACCACCACTACTATGACGTTTACTTGTTGTAGTCGTATTATCATCAATATCTGGTTGTTGTAAATTATCTTTAAAAGCTGTATGTTGCTGTCCAGAAGCACTTTTCATTTGAAATTGTCCATCAACAAATGAAAAATCACTATCATTGGAAGACTGATCGGCATTCATACGAAATAATGATCCTGGTGAACTACGAAGCCAATTACCGGGAAATTTTTTCATTGTAGATTGAACACCAGTTCCACCAACAGAATTTAATTGTTGACCATTTTTACCATGAATATTATGTTCTAATGTTAATTGACGAACATGACCATCATAGGAATTTGGATCATCAAAATTATCCAATAAATGATGACGAATATAACGTAGTCCAATATTATCCTGTGAACCAAATTCTGAATCCATATCTAAATCTAATGAATCGGGAATTATACTAATATCTTGATCAGAATGATGAACATGCATATGATGATTGTTGTTATTGTTGTTGTTAGTGGTAGCGATTCCCGTATATTGTTTTCGATTAAGTAAATGACGATATTGATCTTGTAATAGATGTGGTATCAAATTAAGCCAATAGCTTAAACGATGCGATTGATAATGATCACGTAAACGTGGTTTGGATCCTAAATAATGATGAAAATTTTTATCATTCAAAAAAAAAGAAGAAAGAAAATAGGAAAATCAGTGATATCATGAATGAAGCAAACACACACACACACACACACACAATAGAAATTCATTCATTCTATACATGTTTATAGTATTACATAATTATGATTATTATTTAATATCTCTATATTTTTTTTCGGTAAAAATTTCCAAAAGAATATAAATATCATTATATATTGTGAAAATTGTTTTCCATTGTTTACTTATAAACTAACCTAAAAGTAAAAAACGTTGTTGACCAACGGTATATTGAGGCCAATTAAGAAGATATGGTTGTATGGTTGATGATGTCCGGAATTTATTATTATTATTATTATTATTTTCATTTCTTATCGACGAAGACGATGATGATGATAATGATGGTGAAGAATCTTCCAAATTATTATTAGTGCTATGATGATGATTATGAAGCTGGTGAGAATGTGGTTGATTTTTTTTACCATAATAATTTCCATTGTTGTTGTTGTTAATATTATTATTATTATTATTATTATTATTATTAATATCAGAATCACCAGGATGGTTTGGATTCCTATGAACAAACGAACGAACAAAGAAAAAATAATAAATAATAAATTCAATGATAAGACAGCAACGAGAAGAAAGAAGATCTATAAGAAAATTTTTCGTTCATCATAAGTGGTGTGGTGTTTAATATTAAATAAAAAATAAAGAACCAAGCCTTTCGCCGATCGAACGAAAAAGAAAAATATCCAGAGAAAAAATGGATCATATGTTTTTTCGTGATCAGAAATTTTTGTTTTTGTTTAATTAAACTGAAAAAACAACAATTCAGTTAATATGTATCATTATTATTATTATTATGAATAATGATAATTTTGATTAAAAACTTTGTATTTGTCAACATTGAACTGATTACAATGATGTTTAGATTAAGTTTGGCCTTACAAAAAAAAACTTGAAAAAATTAATCTGCTATAGCTGAATGATTGATGATGATTGTTTCTTTTTTGTGGATGTGCGTAAGTGCGGTAACGAAATTGACCACGAAAATTAGATTCAGTTTATAATCGTTGCGGCTGTTACCAACGAAAAACTTTATTTAACAATAGAAAAAAAAATCTGATAAAGTTAATGTCAAAAACAGTTTCATTTTTATTTTTGTTCGAAAAATAAAGTCTAACCAGAAAGGAGAAAAAAATAGAATTTCAAAAATCAATCAATCAATGATCGATTTGTGAAAAATATTCTTTTTTTCAATCAGGAATATAGAAGTATTAGTCTATTCAATGATTTAATGTTGTGAAATACTTATAAGCTTTGTCCACCTTTGAGTAAATGATAATCAAAAGGTTTTCAAGAATGAATAATTTATTTGCAAAAGCTAGTGGTTTGATTATCATTTTTATTATATTGACATGAGAAAATTTGCATATTCCAAGCAAAAAACAAAATCCATAGATTAAAAAAATTCATTTAGTGAGTAGTTGAGAGATGACTGTATTTTCATCATCATCATTAGTATTATTATTCACACTTACCCATATTTAGCAAAATTACTGAAATATGTTATCATCATTTGGCTAAGATGAATTTGTTCGGCTATAACAGCTGTCGTTGTTGATAACAAATTATCATTATTATTAGCCATTATATTATTATCGAATAGATCTTGTCGACGGCCATTTATATCGGATACGTTCCAATTATTTTGAAAATGTCCGATCGAATGACCAGTTACGTGTTGAGCAATTGGTGCACCAAACATATAATCCAATTCATCATTAAGCATTGATCCAAGTCGTTGATCAATTGATTGTAATTGACCGCTTGTCATCATTGATATACCATCAATAGATCCTAAAAATGATGATGAAGTTGATGATAAAGATTCGAATGATATTGATTTTGGATTATTTTGAAAAACATAGAAAAAAATCTTTCCGGATTTTGAATCCTGTTGTTGATGATGGTCATGTGAATGATATGCAAAATCGAATGTAGCATCTTTGTTGTTTTTTGTATTATATGGAAAACGATCAGGCATTGATTTGGCATAAAGCTCAACGGTTTCAATTAATGGAGCAAGAACCAATGAATGGCCCAATATATCAATAGTAGAATCCAATAGATTAATAGGATGTTCACTTGGTCGACTCCAATCAGTGTATTCATTAATCAATGTCCAGAAAATAGTCTATTTAATATCCAACAAAAAAAATGATTAATGAATTCAAATTTACCCAAAGAAAATTACCTGCTGATGAAAATCAAAAAGATTACGTATTAAAGTTCTTAGAATCTGATTTCGACGTTCAACATTAATTCCATAACGTTCTTCATAACCAGTAAACACATCTAATGGACATTGTACTCTTGTAACACCAAATAATATATCACCATGATAATGATTGGCAGCAAATAAATCCGATGAAATTGATGAAGATGAGGCACTATTCTTGAGAAAAACATAATTTGATGATGATGATGATGAGGCAATTTTCGATGATGATGATGATGATGATAATGGTCCATAAACCATAGATTCCATCATTATACGTGGTTCTTCAACAACAACAATACCATCGATTATTGGACCAAATGGTGAAAGATAACGTGATATGTGAATGTGATCCATTGCTTTAAGAATCTCATCGAATGATTTCCTTTTCAAACAATCGACCGATTGAGTATTATCCTTTAACAATTATTGATTCATTCAAAAAAAAAATAACAACAAAAATAAAAGCAAATAAAGCAGAAAATGAAAAAAAAAGAAAAAGAAATTAGAAACAACAAAATGGAGACATTAATGAATAAGTGGAAATAAATTGGGTGTCAGACCGTTACTCATTCGATCCACAAAAAAAAAATTCTTTTTATACACAAAATAGAAATGGAATGATTGCCATCTTATCTAAATGTGTGTGTGTCGTTTTTTTTCGATTTTTTTTGATTCTTTTTTTGTTGTTGTTGTTGTTGGTTAGTGAATTCAACAACAACAAATACACACACACACACACATATATATACAGAATAAGAAAAGATCGATTCATTACTAGGAATCTTGAACGATCGACAGCTGACCAGATCGAACAAAAATAGTGAGACATTAGTTTTACAATTTTCGTTTTGTTTGCGATGTGATGTGACCAGAAACCAGAAGAAAATAATAATAATAATAAAAAAGACGTGTACGATAACAACATTTAATCGTAAAGAGCGATAAATGTGAATGGATGCGGGGGAATGTTATGGAAGGAGGGAAGAAAAAAAAAGAAATAGAGATATTAAAATAAACACTTACATAGACTGGACAATTCAATTGTTTGGCCAATAATCGTGCATTGTTTTCGGATTCACGAGCAATTGCAGATGGTGCTAATGCCGATCCACTTAATAAAGCAACTCGATTGAATAGACCTAAACAGCAGAAAAAAATGTGACAATAAAAAAAAATGGATGAAAATGGAAACCAAGTCAAAAATGAAATTTGAAATATTTTATTTTGGTTTGAAAATTGAATTTAAATTTGAAAAAAATAAAATTATAAATATAAAGTAATATTTATTCATTGCATATGAAATAGGAAAAACATTTTTTTTTTTTTTTGAAAATTTCAATCAATAAATATCATGTTTCATGAATAAAAATGAATTTCATAAAATATTTAGCA